GTGATTAGAAGAGTGATAAGATGAGCAACTATTTCTAATGAAGAATATTTAGATATACATTGTTTATAGCAATGGCAACCTTTTCTGAAAAGGTGGTTTTTTAGTACATGCTGACAATATAACCAAGGTTCATCTATGCATGAAATACTAAAATTTTATATATCAATTCTGAAAACATACACCTTATTATACATCCACCTTATACCTTATTATTGTTCCTAGAAATAAAAAGCCCCACCTATCACCCCGTGGTATTTATGTATGCTATTAAAAATGTAAAGCAAACCAAAACAGACTTGAGGATTACCTTTGAAGCTATTCTAGACTATTGTTTAAACTGTAAATATCTACTTGGACAACTGTTACTAGACAACTCTCATCAAAGCTGCAAATGCTCTCATCAGCAAATGCTGCACATTTACAGTGAAAAAAGGAAAATAAAAAAATGCAAGTTCTACAGAATAACCATCCCCACTCCCAAAGAATAAAAGAAAAATAAGTCTTCTAAAAGCTCCCTCAGATCTTGCATTAAAAGCACTTACTGTACTGGTTTTGTGTGGCCAGGTTTTGGTAGCTGGGGGGACTTAGAGGGTTGGCTTCTGAGAGATGCTGCCAGAAGTTTCTCCCTGTGTCTGACAGAGCCAATGCCAGCTCTCTCCAGGACACAGCCAGCTGCAGGACAGGGGTGCCAGTGGCCAAGGCTGGGCTAACACCTGTGATAACATATTTAGGAAGGAAAAAAAAGTTATGGCACCGATGTAATTGCACTCAGAGACTGGTGAGAATATGAGGAAGAGAACGAGAGGAACAGCCAAGGTCAGTAGAGAAGGAAGGGCAGGAGGTGCCCCCGGTGCAGGAGGCAAGATTCCCCTGCAGCCCATGGTGAGGCAGCTGTGCCCCTGCAGCCCAGGGATGCAGAGATCCACCTGCAGCCTGTGGAGGACACCACACCAGAGCAGGTGGATGCCTGAAAGAAGGCTGTGGCTCCAGGGGAAGCCTGTGCTGGAGCAGGCAGGAACCTGTGGAGCTGCAGAGAGGAACCCACTGGAGCAGGTTTCCTGGTAGACTTGGGATCCCATGGGGAACCACTGGAACAGGCTGTGCCTGAAGACAGCTCCTCACAGAAAGGGACCCGTGCTGGAAAGGCTCATGGAGAGCTGCCTCCTCTGCGAGGGACCCCATGCTGGAGCCAGCAATGGACCCTTCTCCCTGAGCAGGGACAGAAATAACGCGTGAGAAACTGAATGTGCTCCCATTCCCTGTCTCCCTGCACTGCCTGGAAAGGAGGGAGGGAGGGGAGGATGATGCCATTAGGATTTTACTTTTCAGTATCCTGCTCTGATTTTGACTGCTACTAAATTCAGTAAATGTCTCCAAGTCGAGTCTGTTTTGCCTGTGATGGTACTGGGTGAGGATCTCTCCCTGATCTCAATTTGTTCCTTTTGTTCAATTTTTTTCTCCCTAGTCCAGCTGTGGAGAGCAGTGACAGAGTGGGTGTGGTTTGGTGGGCATCTGTCACCCAGCAAGGGCCAACCCACCACATCTATCTAAAAAGTTAATAAAGTCTGAAAAATATTCTATGCACCTTGCACTCAGTACATCTCTGACAGATCAGATCCCCCTCTGCATTCTTGCATCTTTTCCTTCAATAGCTCTTCTGGAACAGCACCAAGACTGAGCAGCCAGTCAAGGAACTCAAGTGAATTCAGGTCAGAAAACAATTCATTCAGCAGGGAGATACTCAGGCATTCAGATACACACCAGGCTACGAACAGCAGGAGCAATTTCAAATTCAGCCCCTGAAAATTCACATAGTTTATATTACAGGAGAAAAACATGGCAAGGAACAGATTTTCCTTGATTTTCCAGATTTTCCTCCTTCCTAAAAACAGATTTTATCAGGTGAGATACTCAAAGTAGGAAAGCAACAAAAAAATTACAATTATTTTTCTTTTAAAAGATTGGTTCACTGAATTTTGCTTAATGATTTCAGGACCCCCATATTTTTCTTAAAGCATAGGGATTTAATAATTATCTTTTAGATATATGTACACACACACACACATATTTTTAAACAGTCTTGTGTCCAAATTAAAATAGCCATCTTAGGCAATCAAGATTAAATAACTTGTATGAATCTTTGGCAAGAAGCTATTTTTTAAAAAATCATAAAAGATATACACTTGCTCTACGCCGTCTTGGCTTAAGATCTTAATTTAACTGACAAGTCCAATCTTCAGGTTTTTTCACAGTGTAACAAAAATCAGCAAACCCACCCTGCTAGTGGAAGGCATCATCCATATCAGTGAGAAATTCAAATTTCTCACTGATACTTGAAAAAGTAAGGCATGACTCCCTTGCTATTTCAGTGATACTTAATCAAAATCTAGTTTAAAATCTTGTCCTTGGATTTTAGAGTAGAGGTTAAGCAAATGCTTGTCATATTATAAGTTTTGAAGGCATAAAAGTGATGCCTGTTTTTCAAGTACTCCAGTTGATGGTTATTGTTCATTAATCTGCTCAAATACATTCAGTGAACAAATAGCAGGACCATGTTCTGTGGTATCACAAAACATATGTACAAACTATGTATTTTCACTGATGGAAACGCAGTCCTAGCAAAAACCAGTCAGCTACTAATATGAGCCAAAGGAATAAACTTCTATTATCTACAGAATTGCCCAGACCCAACAATTATTACAATTATTATTGACAGATGAGAATCTACCTTCTTAAAATAATAATAATAAAAAAAACCAACTAAATTAAAATTGGTCCTATGACCTGTGGAGGTTTAGGATTACATGTATTATAAAGTGTCATGTATTTCTTTTTGCCACCAGCTGTCCCATTAGGCAGATCCCTGGCTACCAGGATGCTCAGTGTCACATCCTTCCTTGGACTTAAGACTGGAAACTTCAAAACTGTGTCATTGACAATGGCCTCTTTCATTCACAGAATTGGTTTCTGAATCATTACTACAAAACCAAAACATTTACTTTACAAAAAGTAAATGTAACTAAAATCATTCTAGTGCCCCTATGAAGGCAGCTTTTTATTTTAAGCTGCACAACATCTTTCTTGAAGTACCTTCAACTCAAAAATTAATCTAGTATCACATGGCATGATCAGAATAATAAAATCTTAAAACATGCCTGCTGATATAAGAAGTCCAGAAGTTTTTTACCTGCCAGGAGTTTCAGAAAGATGGTTGCAGCACTTTTTTTCCTGTGCACTTCAAAATGTCATCCCATTTCCATTCTTAGCATTGCTGCACCTTCTGCAAAGTGTTCTTTTTCTTTTATCCCTTTCAGGACCATTAGTTTGACTGGAATTCCCCAAGTGTAACAAACATATTTTACTCTTTGAGTTACAATCCACAGACAAACACTTAATTTTCAAAGCCATTAATTATCAAATTAAAACTATAATGACTGTGTTTTTCCTCAACATCCCAGTTTTTAGCTTTTTTCTCTGCTCCTTCTTCCAAGTTATTTTTTCATTCAAGAGCTTTTTTCAAGTTATTTTTGATAGGGGAACTTAAACCTGTATCCTTCTTACAAAAAGCATTTTAAAGACACAGTGTGGCTCGGACACTCCTGCCAACCTCCTCAGGCCCCTAGTGCTGCATTATCCAAGGAAGAAGAAAGGCTTCTGTGTGCTTAACAAGGGCAAATATTGCCCAGGGGGCTTTTCAATATTTCAGTGAAGTTTTTCTGTGGGAGACAATAAAACTCGGGTTATCTCCCTGCCAGGCTGCCCCACGAGGAAAAGCGAGCTAACTCACTCCTCACCCTTTCAGCCCCAAGCCGGCTGCAGCGCCTCAGGCCGGAACGCGGCGGCCGCTGCCGGCCCCTCAGGCCCCGGGCGGGCGGGCGGAGCAAGGGGGACGCGGGGCCGGCCCTGGATCCCCGCGGGCCCCGGATCCCCGCCCCGGCGAAAGGCTCCGTGCTCGGCCCGAGCAGGGGCTCCGGGAGGGGCTCCGGGCCCGCCGCAGCGGCCGAGGCCATTTTCTGCCCGCTCGAGAAGGCGCCGCAGAGAACATGGCGGCCTGAGGGGGCGGGCGGCGCAGGGCAGTCCGACCTGCGGAATGGCGATTCCGTACCCTGCCGAGGGGGCTGATAATCGTCCCTGCACTGACCTGCTCGTGCTTCTCTGGAATCGCCTTACCGTATCTGACGGACAGAACACAATTTTGAAAAGTTTGTTTGTAATTTTGTCCCAATACGATCACTCTCCTTTCAATCCACAACATTAGACTAAAAAAAAAAAAAAAAAAAAAAAGTATCTACATTTAATGTATGTCCTCCAGAGAGCAAAATACTTGATGCTGCTGCATTTCACACTTTCTACGTAACAACAGCCTTCTCTTTGTGGAGGAAAAAAAACCGTGAAATTGTTTCCAGTTCAGTACAATTTTAAACTATTAATTATTTACAGTTCTTTTGCACTGTAGGAAATTCCCTAGTATGCCCTTCCTCCTGCACATCAGTCAAGTGTGCCATTGCATGCTTCTGTTTACTTGCTATTGCTGCTGGTTGTAAGAGATGAGCACAGAGCTAAAAGAATAAAATCCTTTACCTGACTGAAGCATTACACTAAAACATACTAGGCCTGGAAAAAGGGCTGGGAGCTTAAAGCAACATTCCATGAAGAATATAGAAACTTTGTCCCCTCGAGCAAGTATTAACTCTTCTCATTACCTCAGTAATCTGTACCTGACATGCCTTTGCCTTTCTCTTGCAAATGAGTTCTCATTATATTAAGAGGCCAAGTCTCCAAATAATGGTCTGAAGCTGACTGCAAGTCAGCTGGACCTTGAGCCTTGACACTCCCTAGGATTACAGTGTATGTGTATGTATATATATATATATATATATATATATATATATATATATATATATATATATGTGAATGGGCTTTGCTAAGGGATGCTCACCGAGTGGAAACAGGATTGGGGGAAGAAGTCCTAAATGGCTCTTATTTGTTCAACACCATGTGACCACAGCCTTTTTGACAATGCTCTTTGTTTACCCCCTAGTCTTTGTGCAAAAAAAAATAATGAAAAACAAGCTACAGTAAATCCATGTTACCTAGTTTCAGTCAACACCTATGTAAGGACAGAAATACTTACTCTTTCATAGCAATAGTGTTGTGCCAGAAGCAGAAGAAATTACTCCCACCTATCTTTTGGGAAGGCTAAAGATGTTATCATTCCAACACAGCAGCACAAGAGCAAACACTTCTCTAAATATGTTCTTTAATCTTCTGGGAGGGAAAGGTTTCATCTATTTATGACACTGCTCTCACCTAGGGAAAAAAAATGTGTATTTTACTTTACTCTTTTGAGAAAACTGACTAAGGAAGATGACACTTTATGAGAAAGTTGCACAAAACTGGTAGCATGAAATTATAGCAAAGAACATTGCATTAACATAACATCACTCAGAAAGATAATGCAAAAACCAAATATTAGAAAAAAAATTAAAGCTTTTTTATTTTACAAGTATAAAAAACAATGCTTAAAAATCAAAATGCTGGAAGATACTCTGGAAAACCTGGCTTCTGAAGCAGAAGACTTCTCTGTGACAACTCCCAAACAATGTTAAAGCTTCTGAAAATTCTGCATTCAATAAGCAAAGATATGATCCAGCTGAAGTAACCCTTTTTGATGGCTCTTTAAAGCCCATAATCTGGGAATTATCTGACCAGTCTCTGCAGAATGTGTTGCACCATTCTGTGGCTACAGAGCAAAGGGGTTGGCATGAATTGTAATGTCTTTAATGCGAACATCATTAAGAGGTCGATAGGTTTTCTCATTCACAGGCAGCTTCTCCAGCTCATCCAGGGTCTCCAAGCCATCAATAACTCTACAAGAAAAACACAAGTTCTGGAAATTGCCTTCTAATAATGATTTAAATTTCACAGTTGAGGTATCTCAAAACACTTTACAATCAAGTATCCCAAGGCAAAGACTTTGCAAGCAAATGATACAAAATAAGAAAACCAAAACATTTTATGCGGCCAATAATGTATTTTGAAAGGAAATACTAATCCATGATGGACTCTGAGAAGACATTCATATTGTGAGTATTTCAGGGCTCTCAAGCATTTGCTCGTGCCCTGAAATACTCAGATCCCTCCCACACTCTGACAGAGGTGTGCAGTTGAATCACTTACTTTCCAAACACCGTGTACTTCATGTCCAGGTGTGGCTGTTTGCCATAAGTGATGAAGAACTGTGATCCATTGGTGTTGGGACCATTGTTTGCCATGGAAACTACCCCACGGACACTGTGCTGAACAAGGGGAAAAACCTTAGCATGAATACACATCTGTGAAACCAGAACTGACCTGGGCAAAGTGCTCTATGACTTAGAGCTCTTCCTCAATACCATTATTAAGAGCAAATCTTGGTTGCTAATATATTCTATCAGAATCAGTAATTAGCTCCTCAAAATGGTTCTTCTTTGCCTTCAGTGTATGAAAAATGTTGTCAGAAATTCTTTTTACTTCTGTTTTCTGTGATGAAAACCCTCAAGCCTTACTTGCCAAACACAGAAATGCCTGTTCCTATTTTAATAATAAGCTATTGTTCTCCAACCAAGAGAAAATTATTGTAGAGAAAATTCAAATGAAAATTTAAGTGCATATTGAGAGCACAGAAATACCTTTAGATATTCACTGAATTCATCTTCAAACTTCTTGCCCCAGATGCTGTTACCTCCTTTCCCAGTGCCTGACAAAGAAGCACCACAGTAGAAATTACTGGATTTTCAGACTGAAGAATCCAGAAATTATGTTCTGTTACAGCATTTTACAACAAAGACCCTGGACAGCCTGCAGTTAGTTTGAAGCATGTTCCTTGACACTGCACTAAGACATAACTCTATATAAGGAACCTATTAAGCAGTAGAAGAAAACACTGACATCCTCAAATTAAATTCAGTATGAGTATGAACAGACACAACTGAATCAGCTTTTCTCCCAAACAGCTGACACTGTCTGGGACATTTCTCCAAATGCTTTAGATGCAGCCTTCCAGGCAGAAACCACACAAAGCTCAGTAGTACCTGCTTCTACTTTAGTCAACAGAACCATCATATTTAGTGGGAACAGTTGGTAAAACTCAAGTTTGTAGAATGCATGATTACTTAAAATTGGGGTAATGCCTGCACTTCTGTAAGCCCATCACAAAAAATAATCTCATCATAAAAACTCTTATCAACAATACAATAACTCTTATATTTTTACTTTACTTACATTTTGGTTTTAATACCCATAATTCCTATTTATTTCCTTATTTTATTTTTATGTACATTTTTTCCACAGAAAAACCCAGACAGAAGAATTTACCTAATGGATCCCCTGTCTGAACCATGAAGCCCTTTATATTTCGGTGAAATACGCATCCATTGTAGTAGTTACTAGCACAAAGAGCCAGGAAATTCTACAAAAATCAAACAAACCATATTAACAAACAACTGACAAATAGTATTATCTTACTAAAATTACAGCATTGGCAAGACCAATGCTTTTACCTCTGCTTTGCTTTGTGACCATGCAAATTCCACAGAGTAGTGCCACAGATCATAGCTAATAAACTCCTTTGATAGTGTCACACACAAAGAATAAAAAGCTTTCAGTGCAAGGCTGTCTGACTTGAGGAACAACCAAGAAGTCTAAGACATGCTCTCAAGTATCACTCCCATTCAACAATTTTATTTGGCACGTCTAAGTTTGTAATCAATAACTTAATGCCTCAGCTTTTTCATAAAATAAATGACATTTATTTCAATTTCAGTTTATGGCAAAAATTCAAAACTGGGGTCCCTGACAAACTGTGAGGGAGTCTCACTCTTTCAAACTAAAATCAAGTCTGTGAGGCTAGGAATAAACCCATGGAAATTTGGGAATCCCATGCTAGGTGCTGTATTTCCCCTTAAAGGCAAAGGACAATTTGGGAGATGCTGGAACTTCAAAAGAAGCATCCGTAAATAAACCTTATCAAGAGAGAAACAGGCATGAAAGTTCAGGCGGTAAGACAGAGTGCACAAGTTCCATGAGTGGAACAGACACTGCACCACCTTAAAATGTTGGTATTGCATTACATGAAAAGGTGAAATTGCAAAAGCCACTTCACCTCCTCCACAGTCTTCACTATTTCTACTGCTTTGTTTCACCACTAGGCAATCCTACTCCTGGATGTGACTTACTTCACAAGTCTTTGGAGTACGCTCACAGAATAGTTCAATTTTAATATCTCCCACATCAGTATGCAGCGTGACAGCCTGAGCAAAAGGCAGAAAACAATAATTAAATCAGCAATAAAATACTAACAGACACTGTTTTATTTCCCAGCCCCATCAAGAACATTAACAAACTTGCACTGCATATAACCACTGTTTCAACATTTGGCCATAAGCAAGGCTACTGTCACAACCAATCCACATTTCCAGTAAAATCACCAGAAAGCACTTGGTTTCATCTCGTTTCAGGACAAATCAAGCTTGCCATGGTAATGCAGTAGCTGTTGCATGCTGTTACACTCCAGAAATACATTATTCATTTGCAAACAGGACCCACTCAGTCACTTGAAAGTAAAGGTGAATAATCAAGGTTATATCTATTTTGGATGGCGCACATACCTCACTGCTTTTCAACTAGAGCAGCAACTGATGTCTGCAGCCCTTTGATTAATAAGGCTGGTTCTGAATGGCAGCATATATAATGTGCCTTCACAGAGAAGTAAATCTGCAAATTAACTTGCTTTTCTTAAGAATTTATAAGTTACCTTCATAAAATTTAAAACCAGTTACCCAATGACCTAATCACATTTATCTCTACAGGCCATATATATCACAGTGCTTCTACAGAAAGTGCTAAACCATGCAAAAACAATTACTGTGGGGATAATCCTACAGCAAAACTAATAAAAATCAGCATGATGCTGATACAGGCATACTGCTCCAAAAGTATACAAGTAAAGGAGACAGCTGTCCACAATGTCCATGAAGATGCTATAGAAGGTGTATGATCAGTTTAAGACATATATGGTCTTATCTCTATTTCTCAAATTACTATACTTTTAAAAGCCCATGAGTACAGAGGTTTACATATGCTGAAGCACAGGTATGTTCTTGCAACTGGACTAATGCTTCTGTGGCAAAAGAAACCAAACTAGATTATCAAATACATGCCAAAGTAGCATTAAAATCTGGCATCTCTAAAGTGAAAGCATAATTAAGTTTTAGACTGATGTAAATCAACCTGTTTTCCTTTTCACAGTACGTTTTTTTATAAGTTTGAAATGAAAACCCTGAACTTTTCATGACAAACTCCTCACAGCATCAGAGTAAAACATGTATTCCTTTGAGATGGAGAGCAGCTATTCGCTTTCCAAGAGATGACCATTTCAGAAAACATATAAAATGTGCTTTTATTCTTACCATGCCTGCTCATCAAAATCTGAGGTAGCCTTCTGTACAGCGATTTCCTGTAAACATAACATAAGTAATTTGTTGGGTTTTTTCCTGCCAATCCCCATTTGGTTTTGATTCTAAAATATTTGTTGGTTACATGTTTTTACACCGCACTTTTCTACTATGCCATTCCAGGGACTCTGCGGCTAAATTTTTCCATTAAGCAACTACGCAGCATATAAAATATGAAAAATAACTAGAAAAAGACCACGTAGAGAACAGGGAAGAGGGCAAAAACTTTTCCCCAGGATGAACATTTTTACTAAGCAATCAGTTTTTGCAAATATTGTGGCAGCTGGCAGAATAGGAGATGGCAGAAATTCCCAAGTAAAAGTCACATACCATTACCTAACAGAAGTGTGATTTGGGGCCAACTCGTGACAGCTGTGAGCGCCTGCAACAAACAGGTAACTGCACCCAATCAGATTTTTTAAATATTTGTAATATTTTCAAATGAAGTGTTTAGAATGCCGGCAATAAAACCGTGGCTGCGTAGAAGCCGAGAGATTTACGCGGTAATAGCTCCTCTATACAGCCGCCCTCACCGGTGGAGCCCCGGCCCCGTGTCCCCATCTCAACCCACCTGCGACCGGCTCCCCTCACCCAGGGCAGCCACAGCTACCGCTCCCTCCCTGCCCGAGGTACCGCCACCGAAATGCCGCGCACAGCACAGGTGGGCTCTGCCCGCTCGGCTCCGAGAACGCCTTAACCTGCCGGGGCTGATGCAGACCAGCCCCCGCCGGGGAGAGGCGGCTGCTCTCCCGCGGGCCTCAGTTCACACCCGGCGGAACGTGAGCGCGGCGGAAGCGGCGGGGCCGAGCGCAGGTCCCGCCCCGCAGCGCCGGCCCTGCTCCGGCGGGAGGTGAGCGCGCTGCCGCGGGAGCCCCGGGCCGGGTGTTATTGAGTGGTACCGAGTGGTACCGGGTGGGTGGTGCCGGGGGTGGGCGGGCGCACTGACCGGCAGCGGGGCAGCGCCCGCAGCCCGAGCGGCCGTGGCCGGTGTTTGGGCGGCAGGCTCCCCAGGCTCAGGCCGGCCTGTGTTCGCCCCGCACAGGTCCCCGCATGCCGCTGCTCCGCCCGCCTCTCCACCGCGTCTGTGCCTTGGGCCGCCCGCCCGTCCGCGCCCTCATGAACCTCCGGGAGCTCGTTTCTGCCCTGAATGACTTCGCATCCCCCGCCCTGGCTGAAAGCTGGGACAATGTGGGATTGCTGGTGGAACCGAGCCCTCCCCACACTGTGAACACCCTTTTCCTCACTAACGACCTCACTGAGGAGGTGATGGAAGAGGCAGTGCAGAAGAAAGCGGACCTCGTTCTTTCTTACCACCCTCCTATATTCGCACCACTCAAGCGAGTAACGTGGAAAACCTGGAAGGAACGGCTGGTGGTCCGAGCCTTGGAGAACAGAATCGGGATTTATTCTCCACATACGGCGTACGATGCCATACCTCACGGAGTTAATAACTGGCTAACAAAGGGACTCGGTGAGATTCTGATAAGAACAAACAAATTAAAATTATTAAAGATGTATATGCTATTTTAGGTGGGGTCTTTCATCATTTGCCTGCCAGCTTTTACAGGTGTGATTTGAGGACTGTTTTTATTTTTCCTAATATTTTTATGGTACTGTAACCTTAAATGCATTTTCGGACATTTATCTTGGTGGTAATATACCAGATAACAAACACAAGAGGATATTTTCAGATGCATGACTTTACTATTGGATATATCTGGAACTGGTGGAGCATATTTATTATCCACTATGGGTGCAATGATATCACTGACTTTAAATCACCACCTTTCATTTATAAAATACAAGATCTCAATGTCTGCAAAGTATTTAAACTATGTGAAATTATTTTAGATTTTTATCTTGTATTGTGGCTCACAGATTACAATAGCTGTGTCTTTTCCAGCCTGTCATGCAAACTAGGAACTCTTTTTGGTTTTGTGCAATCCTTAGGATGAAACTGATGGCATTGAGAATGGCAAATAACACATATCCATCAGCTTCTTTGGACTTAAGATAGACTGTGCCTAATGGAGACAGGAGAATGAAAAGCCCTCAGTTCTGGTCAGGAAAAAAGGATTTGAGTGCAAAATTTGCATCTTTGTGCCACATCTCTTAAACAAAAATGCTAAAGCAGTGTTAGAATACTTACCCTGCTTTATAAGCCAGCAATGTTGTACTGTTTTCTCAGGCACCTGTACTTCTGTCCCACTGCATCCATCAACTGCGCCAAGCTCTCCAGCTGAGGGCACTCACCGGGTAGAATTCTGTGCAGATGCTGAGCATCTGGATGCAGTCCTGTCCAAAATCAAAGACATCCCAGAGATCTCTTGTCTCACTACTCTCCCAGTCAGGTATCTGCTCCACTCTCTGGTGTTGTATTCTTCCTGTTGTTTGAAACAATAAGTTGCTGTAATTGTATTTTCCTGTTCTAATAATTTTGTTCCTCTGTGATTGCTACTGTATTTTCCAGCAATAGAATGAGAAACTTAAGGAATAATTGTCCCTCTCTGGGCAATCTATGTCATGCTAAATGGTAATAGCAACTCAAGTCTAGCTCACATAGATTAGGGGTGTTAAAGAAGAGTATTTACAGGAAACTTGATGAGAACAGTTGAGTTAAATTTCCATATTTGTTCCTTCCAAGACAAATCTAGGCTTGAAATTACAATGCTGCCTTTTTTTCCTTTCTCAGTGGTAGAACAGCCACTGGGATAAAAAAATTATAATGCCAAAATTAGTAATTGAATGCTGTAATATAGTAATTACAATACCAAAATTTTATCTAGCTTCTTAACAAGCACCAGGCATTTCTTTCCTCAGGGTTGAAGGTGAGGAACAAACACGAGTCAGTCTGAACTGCTCTCAGAAAGCCCTGCTGGAGGTGGTGGCATTATTGTCCCAGAACAGCCTTCTTTATCACAAGACCGAGATTCTTTTACTACAGAAGGTAACAAAATCACAAAGTTACTTCCTGTGAACGTATTACTTGTGGGAGCTGCGTACTGTAAACACTGAAATGCAGTAGTCAGTGGCATCATATCTTTCCAGTGCTACCCCAGTGCTTTGAAATACTGGCATATGGGAATTTGAAGCCACACCCATTTTCCAAAGCAATCAATCTATTTATGTGACCTGTACTAATTCTTAAATCAGTTCCAATGGCTGGCATAGTTCATATGTTACATTTGAGAACATCACATACATACTTCTTTGTAGAGTTCAGTGTTGTTCCTGCAAGCCCAATATACTCATCCTGTACAGTGTGGACAGCAATGCAAGCATCTGGAGTCAACTTTCTCACAGTCATTCTCTTTTTTTTTTTCAGCCTCTTCTTCCCCATACTGGAATGGGACGCCTGTGCACCCTGATCGAGCCGCTCTCCCTATCAGACACAGTGGAGCGCATCAAAGGGCACCTGGGGCTCCCCCACATCCGCCTGGCCCTCGGGGCGGGCAGGACACTCGGTAAATGGGCAGTGATCCTCCTGGGGGTGGGCAGGACACTCGGTAAATGGGCAGTGATCCTCCTGGGGGCGGGCAGGACACTCAGTAAATGGGCAGTGATCCTCCTGGCCCTGGGGCGGGCAGGACACTCGGTAAATGGGCAGTGATCCTCCTGGGGGCGGGCAGGACACTCAGTAAATGGGCAGTGATCCTCCTGGCCCTGGGGCGGGCAGGACACTCGGTAAATGGGCAGTGATCCTCCTGGGGGCGGGCAGGACACTCGGTAAATGGGCAGTGATCCTCCTGGCCCTGGGGTGGGCAGGACACTCGGTAAATGGGCAGTGATCCTCCTGGGGGCGGGCAGGACACTCGGTAAATGGGCTGTGAGCCAGACTGCCTGCCAGGCTGGCACTGCAGGAACACAAGGAGCAGCAGTGGGTGCATGACAGTGGGCAACACTGGTGTCTTCACCAGGTTTACTTCCAAGAACTAGGAAGCACTGTTAAGACACATCATATTAGAATTTACAGTCATATGAAAAGAATCTTATCTGTATTTTAATGGGATTCTATTGGTTAATGTGGTGAAGGAGGACAGTACAAGTTGAATGAAAGATATAATTTTTTGTAACTTATATAATCACTAATTTTTTTTCCTGCCCAGGATATCAGGCACAAAGGTGTACTGTTTGATTGTATTGTTCCCTTTTGTGACTGAACGTTAAAATTCAGAGCACTTTAAGAATAAGACACTTCATAGTATCATTAGGAACACAGAACAGTGTTTTGATGAAAGATAAGATAAAGAAGGTAAACTAGCTCAAACAGTGGGGTCATTAGTAAGATGTGGAGTAAACATCCTCTTATCCCAGCTACCTATCCTAAAATCCAAGGACCACAGCTGGTAGAATTTGTGAGAGTAAATTTGTTAAGAGCTCATTGTAATTTAGGAGGCAGAAATCTTATTAGACTGACAATTGCAGTAAAAATCCCCAAACTACTTCAAAGACTTTTTAAGATGTGGTGTGACTCCACTTAAATCAACAGTAAATGCAAGGCAACATCCTGTAAAAACTTAATAGATTTTGAAAACTCCCTGTGTTGTGTGTCCCCTCTCCTTAGTGAATGTAATCTATATGAAAAATTAAAATTCATGTCACTGTCATATATGTAATAACTTGGAATTAGCAATCACAGCAGATGGACAATTTTTATTGGCATGGAGCAGCTTTCAGCTTGCATTAAGACTGGTTTTCTGAGAGCTGAAAGTTAGGAACCAGTATATCTCAGAGGCAAAGTGCTGCCTTAGTGGCATCATTAGTTGGGAAACTAATGGTGGTGGAACACGAATCCTGCAAAGAGTAGTGGCCTATTAAAGACTTCAGAAACCCAACTAACACCTCACTAGGAGAAAGATCACCAGCAGCCAGCCTCTGTGCTGGAGTTTTCTAAAAAGTTTCCTGCCCCTTGGAAAAAGTCTATCTATCACAGAGGATTTTGTTGTATTGTCAGAGGTGTTATAGGCCCATGACTCTTTCCAACAGACAGATGTGTCTCTTCCTCCAACAATTTACATTGACTCTAAAATCAAGGTAGCAGTTAACTGAAACAATTACTAGCAATATACACATGAGGGCTCAACAAAAGGGAGGGAGTTTAACTGTGGCACATTGTATCCTGCAGAATCACCAGTGAAGAAAGTTGCTCTATGTGCTGGTTCTGGGAGCAGTGTCCTGAAGGGAACAGAAGCTGACCTCTATCTCACAGGTAATAGACTGCTGTTTCATTATTTTTAAAAAAACAGTCATTAGAGAAAAAAACAAACCTCAGCAAAAAATAAGAGGGTTGACTGGCTTTTGAAAGATTTGACCACAAAGAGCCACCTGTTATTTATAATTGAGAAAAAATTGGTTAGTTATTGGAATGACAAACTAACATTAAAGTAGAAATAACGTGGATCAATTGGCAGTGTGGCACAGTGAAAGATACTTGAATTAAAACATCGATTTACAGCATTTATCTCAATGCAAAATCAGTGCTGATGGCAGTGAGTTGCAACTTTCATTCTGTGTATTTCTCCTTTGCCAACATGTATTTCCTGTATTCCCTAGAGAATTCCCTAATGTAAAACAGAATATAATGTAGTCTACAGAACCTTCCAAAGAAACTCCACAGTGTGTCTAGCCAAAGGGCCACTTAGTCCATTATTCTCTCTTCCAGCAGTGGGACAGCTATTCCCCGTGGCACAGCAATGTGAAGGCTGCCTTGCATTCTGTAGGAATTGCTGCCCCTTCTCCCCCTTGTGTGTAGCCCTGCAGAGCTGACCCAGAACTGCTTTCCTCCATCCTTTCCAGACCACTGGGAGCATTTTTATTTTCTGCCCAAACTGGCAGAATTTACAACTACTCAAAGATGGCAAGGAATTTCTGTGGTTTGACCCAGCTGCATACAGGGTCTTTCAAAGGACCCTGGAACAAGAGTGTTCCACTTTGCTACTGAGCAGGTTGTGTTGCATTTCCATTATGGCCTATACTCCATTACATCACCAGCCTTTAGCTGAGGTGCTCCATACATTGTAGAGACCTGGTTACCTGAACTGTATCATTTGTGATTTCCGTGACATTTCTTTCTCAAAATGGCAGGAGAGATGTCCCACCATGATGTGCTGGATGCAGTTGCCAATGGGATAAGTGTTATTCTGTGTGAGCACAGTAACACTGAGCGAGGCTTCCTGTCAGAGCTGCGTGAGGCACTCACCATCCACCTACAGAATAGAATCAACATCATTGTGTCTGAGAAAGACAGAGATCCTCTCCAGGTGGCATAGGGGGAAAAAACTGATGAGAGAAAATTCAGTCAATAGTGTTATCTTGCACAGACCTGTCCAATTGCAGAGCTTAATGAAGGTGCTTTCAATTGGTCCAGTACAGAATGATTGTACTATATGGTACCTCAAAGTCTGGGGTATATTTTGTCATGTCAGAAAAATAAATGTTTGTTTTGGAATACCAAACGTTCGTTTACTTGATTACTGGACTGTATTGAATAAATTTACTGTTACTGCTTCATGTTATTAGATACAGTTGATAACCATGATACTCAAGGAAAAAATATATAAAACCTGACTTACCTCCAGATTTAAGCTTACGCAGCAGTTCTACCCTACTACAGCTATGTCAAATCATGTCAGTGCAAGCCACTGATATTTTATCTAATAAATTTCAGAAATAGTAGTTAATGAAAGCATGGACATCAACTGTTTGCATTAGCAGTTGTACTAAGGCACCACTCAGATGCAAATAAATACAGAACACAAAGCAAGTTGTTGGTACTAGTATTCAGATGAACAATCTACCACTAATGCAGCTTTAAGGCTTTTCAAAAGAGAGATTCTCAATTCAAAAAAGCTTTGTAAAGTTGAAACTCAATTCCTTAACAAAGCTGTAAAGTCACGTGCCTTTGTCATTTTCTTTTAAAAACAGTTTCTGTCAACTGTGGCTTTTAATTACAGGATTGCTAAAACTGAACAAGTAGTATTTTCACCACTGAGAATGAGTTTAATTTTACAAGTTATTTTTCTGTTGAGGTTTTTTTTTAAGAAAAAATCTCACAGTTGTATACCCTACCATCTCAGGATGGTAAATATATTTTATTAGAAATTTGTAAAGATGCTAGCTCTATCCTTTTAAGTTAATAAAAGCAGTTCATCAAGCAATGTCTCCATCTAATAATTGCATGTCTCGTTCCACTTAAATGTATTTAAGTGGAAAGAGATGATTGGTTTATCTGAAGCTACCTAGGCTATATAAAGGTCATCATTCCTACCAATACCATGAAGGCACCTCAATATGCTGAGAAGTGAGAAGGAATTTCTTCTATCCCAAGTAAAAGGAAAGGACCTGTACGAAGAATCAAGTTGACAGTGTGGTAGGTAAAAGCTCTAGGTTTCTAATACAAAAGTCAGGCCATACATCTCTTGCTTCTGTCAAGTACCAAGTGAGGGGCAGATAAGGTACTATTGCTCCATGGGATGTTTTGGTTCTCTTTAAAAGCTATATACTGGTATTAAAAGGCAGGCAAACGATTCTTGATTTTGATGTAAGAAACAATGTAAATATTTCTACTCAGTAGTTTGAAATCTTCTGCACAGATATTTGACATAATAATGAAAAGGAAGCTTTTGCACAACTGCCAAAAGGATCTCGATCTTCCTGTAACATAAAAAGATTGTGAGAGACAAGACAAACTAATGAAAATTAATAAAGTACTTTATTTGATTGATTTGAACTATTACAACACTGAGCTGTAACACAGCTACCAAATATTAGGCATAGAGAGTCCCTGAAGTCTGGCTGGCAGACTACAGATGATGGAACTATAGAGCTTCCTCCCACATAACTGAGAAAAAAAGAATTGAAGAAAAGATGTCAAACTTCAGTAGTCTCCCAACCTCTAAAAGCTTAAAAAAGGGAGAGCTTCTAAGTGGCATTTAAGGCCTTCTCCAGGATCAGTGGGCACTCCTGATGTAAAAAATATAAATATACAATCAAGATTTAAAAAAATAACTGAAAAAGCTTCATAGCCTCTTCATATTCCTGGATTGCACCTTGGAAAGTAGCAGGCAATGACATGAGTCCATCATAATTCTGATTATCTAAATCTTACAAAAGGATGTTAGTTTGGAACAAGTCCTTCAGTTTTATTGCCAGAATTTACTAAGTAACCTGCAGCATCCCAAACCCACTAATATTCTCCTTTCCTCATGCAGTCAAAACAGGTCTTGTAGCATTATAAATCTTGTCTTCATACACTGGAAGCTAGTTTTATCTAAATGGTAAGGAGTACTGGATAGCACTCAAATGGGAAAAATTGCACCACTAGTACAAACTAAAGCTCTTGACCATCTTGTGATTTGCACTTCCCAAGTAAATTGCTCCAATAAAACCTTCATGTCTACTGAGGTAGAGAGCAGAAGGCACAATCTCACCAAGTTTGTTTTTGTTTTTCTGGCTGTGAGGTTGGATGCCCAGATAGGAAGAAGGCATTGTCTGAGCTAAGAGACAAAGCAGACAAATCCAACTAGAGCGCAAGCGAGGCCTTGCTTACAGAATCATCATTCCAAACTACCTGAGGCAGTTGAACAATGAGCAAGATTCTTTAGAATTATTACTTATCAATGCAGCAGCTGTGAGGCTGGAGAAAGAGATCTGAGCATAGGCCCCTCTCCAGCAGCCTTTGAGAGCAGTTGCTGTAGACACTGAGGACACAGATGTTACACATCTTCATCCTCTTTCTCTAAGAAGTCGGTCAAGGTACTGTCATCGACAGGAATTAGTAAGTATTCCACACCATCAGCTCCCTGAGAACAGACATGCACAGACATTGTTAACACCAGTGTACAGTGCCAGGCAAGCCTCTAGACAGCACTGCAATGCTAGCATTTATCTGCAGTCTGGATTAGAGCTACATTACCGAAAAGCTGTTCTGAACAGGAAATGCACAAATACTGAGAAGAGTCATTAAATGACAAATCTTCTGGTGGGTTATGCTTGTCTGAAACTACAAAGCTCTTCAACATTTATCTTCAACACTATATCTTGTACTGCTGTACTGCCTCATTATTATGACAACTCTGCATTCCTTCCTTATAGAAATACAGGTAATACTATTGGAAGCAGACTGACAGGCTCCATAGTCTGCTACTTCTCACAGTCTTCAAAAGAAGACATGTAGGTTGCTGAGTAACCAAAGCACACTGCGTTTCTATAATCCTCTATCTGTGTAAAGGGTGTTGACAAATTGAAGGCATGGGAACAGCTGCAATTACAGAATTTCAGCCCCTTGCCAGTTCCTACGTGCTTAAACAATACAGCAAGTAGGAATCCTTTTTATTCAAATAAAAATGGCTGAATAGAATTCTTCCCTGGACTCACCCGCTTGGTCCGGATCAGCTTGTGGTCCTTGAATTCTGTCAGCTGTGCCCTGAGTGTCAAGTCACTGTTCACAAGGAAAGCCTCCCGACACTGCTGGTAAAAGTCTTGGAAAGACAGCCCTGGAGACAGAAAAAGGCAAGAACAAGAAACTGAAGTAGTAAGATTGTCAAGTTTTCCCAGGTCTAACACCACATATCCACCTGAAAGTCTTGCTTTGGCTTAGACCAGAGTGGCTACAGTATCATCACCTCTTGCAAGTATACAGCCAAGGTAATACTTCTGTAATTAATGGGAAACAGCTCAATTAACATGTGAGTCACCCTGCTGCCTAATGGAATTTTAATAGCACTTTAAATGCACTTCTTACAATCGTTAATTTCTCTTAATTTCCAACTCCTCTATCTTGCTTTCTTTACCATTAAAATGTTATTCATTTCCACTGCAACACCTATGACACAGTGACAGAATATTCCACATGTATCCTAGAAAGCACAGGTACATCAGAAGCCATTTATATAGGACGTTTAAGTGCAAGTTATACAATTTCAGTCTTCATTTTAATTTTTTTAGTCCACAGTCCCTCACCAACAGTCTCAGCCATGTCTAAGCATGTAAAAGGCAGTCCTTCAGAGCCAGCCAGTCTATTGATTTCCTGTCTGAGTCAGACACAGTGTCACTTGAAAGACAGTGAGCCTCACTGAGACAACTGTTCAAGCACTTCTGTTGCTGGATGTGTAACCTGCATACCAAACCCCAGGGCTGCTGTGAACAGCAACAGCCCAAACAAATGAGAAAAGGTGGGTACCTACCTGGATAAGATGGATTGTCCTTTTTCTCCAGCTGGTGCTGAGCAAGCAGTCTGAATATCCCTCTAAGTGAAAGGAGGAAAGGGAAAAATCAAAATAATAATAATTTTAAAACAACCCCAAACTAGCACAGTTAGAAAATATTAACTAATTTTGCCTTATGCACAAAGAACCTGGTTGTGAATCTCATCACTGGACACGGCCTGCTATCCAAATTTAAAGTAACCAATCAGCTGGAACCCAGGTCCTACCATCTTGGTCTGGAACACTATTATCAGAAAACACAGATTGCAAGGACTGGGTCCTTGGCAAGTGCTACTGTGAAGTGTAACAGTGTCTTACCTGGCATTGAGAGTGAGGCTATGCAGGACATGCATTAGGGAGCTCAAAGCCAAAGATCCAGACTGTTGTACTAAAAGCGAGTTCTCATAAGATGTTTCTTCCACATAAGGATTAAATGTGGTTGTCTCATACCAAAGCCAGTTATAGAGGCTCAGCTTTGCCTGATCCCACACTAGACAGACAGAACAGAAAGAGCAGACAAAACTGGGAGATTTATGTTTTCCAAGGCATTAAACAAGCAATATTAAAATGCTTGCAGCTCTGGTGTAGGATTGAGGAAACAATATATGCTCGTGAAATTCAAATTACATACACCCTGATAACTGCAGTTCCAGTAAGCTAAATTCTCAGCAACAAAACATTTGCAAGCATCCCTTTTCCACAGATACATTGTAAATCCTTCCAGAGTCAGGAGTATGCAAACAATTTCTGGCTGTAGCTGGAAGCTCTAAAGCTCTACCTAGAGAGGGGGTAAAATAGCTGAAACAAGACCCTTCTCAGAGTGTGTGGAGATTCCTCCCTTTAATGGGGACACCCCTCAAGGTTACTCCTCCAGGCTGAGCTAAAGAGATCTCCCCATAGTTGTTGATATGGGTGAGTAAAATCAATTTCTACTTGTATAGTTTTTGCTAGATTCAATATAATTGTTTCAACATTGCTTTAAAAAAATGAACTATACTAATTGTTACAGCTACCTGCGCTGTGTAGTAAATAATTCTGATTAGGATCTTTTAGTCTAATCATAATAGTAGCTTTGCCATCCTTAATTATCCAACCTCCAATTCAGTAAGCTCCTAAAATCAAACTGCCAAAAGCTTGGAGTCTATTTGTATATAATGGTCAGTGGTATTTCTCAGTATCTTTACACAGTTTTGGTTCAGCACAGCCACACTCCCAATCAGGACTATACATACATCAACAGATCTGTTCTACACATCAACAGTAAT